GTGGTATATTTACACAATGGAATACTACTCAGCCATAAAAATAATAAAATAATGCCATTTGCAGCAACATGGATGGACCTGGAGATTGTCATTCTAAGTGAAGTAAGCCAGAAAGAAAAAGAAAAATACCATATGATATCACTTATATGTGGAATCTTAAAAAAAAAAGACAAATGAACTTATTTACAAAACAGGAACAGACTCACAGACATAGAAAACAAACTTATGGTTACTGGGGAGGGAAGGGAGAGGGAAGGGAGTGGGAAGGGATAAATTGGGAGTTCGAGGTTTGAAGATACTGATTTTATACATATCTATATCTATGTAGATATAGATATATACACACATACACACAAGTAATAGATAAAGTTCATACTGTATAGCACAAGGAACTATACTCAATATCTTGTAGGGCTGGGGTGCGGACAGAAACAAGATGGCCTTTTGCAGAAAACCTTCTCCACTTCCTTGGAAGAACTGGGTCCTGCCCCTACTTCCCTTGAGGCATTCAGGGACCCTCTTTGTCTTCACACTTTGGATAGAGGTCCAGGCACTGAGAAGTATTCCTGCACCTGGGAAAGTGTGTGGAAGTGTGATGGTCAGGGAGTCCAGAGGGAGCACGGGGATGGCGGGGTGACCAGCACCCTGTCCTCCCCTCAGCCTTGGGCGGGGCTCCGTTGGTGGGTCAGGTCTGCCCTGAGGTCTCAGTTTGCAGCCTCTGCTTTGAGAAAACGCCAGCAAGCGCCTCTCCAAAACAACACTGAGGGGCTTTCATGCAAACATGAGGTGGGCCGTGCCTGTTAAGAACCAGAGGTGGAGGTGGTGAGCAGGCATTGCGGGAGGGGTGGTGGCGGCCAAGGGAGCTCTAGCTGCCACCAATCACCGTGCGATGCGATGGAAAGGGGGCCCGGCTGCCACTTCCAACCAGCAGGGCCCCCTTGGGCAGATCCCTTGCTTACACTGGGCTGGATCTCAGCTCCCAAGCCTGTTCTGGGCCATCCCTTCTCCTGGCCACTCTCAGTCAGCTGCTGGGAGACACTTAGGACTAGGAAGGGAGCCACTTGCAGAACTTCCGGGCAGGTGTGGGCAGGACACCCAGAGTGTGCTTTGCTTCGTTTATGCAGAAGAGCAAAAATGCAGCCGCAGGACGGCCTCCTGTGATGGGCCCAGAGGCAGCTGCCGGTGTCCCCTGCCCCGCCGCACCCGGACAGCACCGAGAGTGAGCAAGACCTGGAGTCTCTAGAAACTGCAGGGAACGCCCAGGCCCTCCGTCCAGCAGCCTCCCCGTGGACACTTACAGACACCGTGCTGAAACCTGGATCCCAGAATCGCTGTTTCGCTCTAACTGCTTAGTGACTCTTTTGGACAATTGGGTTATGTTGCCATGACTTGCTCTTGGTGGCAGCAGCTGGCTTTGGAAACAGCCACTTCCTCTTGTGGACGTTTGCCAACCACAGGGCCTAGGGCCCATGGCTCTCACCTTTCATGGCATTAGGCGTCACCTGGGGGCTTTAAAAGCACCAGGCACCCAGACAACAGCTAAGACCGATCAGTCAGGCTCTCCCGGAGTGGGGGGCCCCGCATCAAGTCTATTAAAGCTCCCGGGGACCCCGACCAGCCGCTCAGGTTAAGCCCCACAGGCCTGCTGGTTGCCGAGAATCCACATCCAGTCAGTCAGTACAGGGTCTGCAGCCCTCCTGCTCCGCGAAGCTGGACGAGACGTGCCCGCCTAACTCTGCTACATCTATATGCGAGGGCAGCCACCTCCCTGCCTTGCCCTTTTACCTTTTTATGCCCTCCGCCAGGGACGTGGGTGATGTTATCCAGGGACCCGATCTTCGACTGGACTCTATCCTTGAAATCCAGCTTCTCAGATTTTACCTCCACCTGGCCACCTCCTGGAACACAGCACACATGGGCACCGAGCCTTGAGTGAGGGCCAAGCAAGTGATTCCACGCAGGTGCAAACCTTTAGGAGGAGATACGGCTAGCCTTTTTTTTAGTGTGGTTTTGGAGTAAGTCCTTCCAAAGGGCCTGAAAACAGTTTGCTTCATCTTTCTAATCAGGGTGTACAGTAAATATTTATTTAGCAAACTCTTCCTCCTTAGATAATGCAAAGGTAAATGACAGTTCAGTTCAGGAGAAATTGTTCTAAATTCTAAACTGGTTGGCTTCCAAAGAGTCAAGTCTCTCTATGTCAACATCCTGTAAGCTACAGCCCTGTAAGACCTCAGAATTAAAGTACGTGGCAAAATGCGCTCTTAATAGGGAAGGGTCCTGACCTTTTCTCCCTCCTCGGACACTCAATGCAACACCCAAGTGTGGGAGACATGGCCTGAGGAAGAGACACTACATCACTTTCTTGGGCCTTCCCGAGAAAAGCCACTCAAAAAAGCTGCTCCACTGTGTGGCAGGACGGGGGCCCCAGTAAAGGGAAAGACTAAACTCCCACAAAATGATCAAGGGAGACAGAAGATAATGACACACTTTCTAGACTATGCTTCTGACAGTCTTCTCTTCCTGTAGTCATGGTTCAACTAAAGATCTCTGCTCTGAACAGGACCTAAGGCAGAAGTCCCTGCTCTGGACTCACAGGTGGGAGTTAGAATCCAGATCTGTGCTAAGATGGTAGCCACTAGCCACCTGTGTCTACTTAAGTTTTCATTAAACAAAATTTGTTCATTTCCTCAGCTGCACCAACCATGTTTCAAATGCTCAATAGCCATGTGTGGTTAGTGGCTACCATACTGCAAAACATGAGAGAAGAGTCCACTGTCGCAGAAAGGTCTATAGAGAGCACTGGCTCCTACACGTGTGAGATGGGGAGGAAAAGGGTAAGCACGGCGGGTTCCAACAGCATCAATTTGTTGAAATGAAGTCACAGCAGGGGCATGGCAGTGGCCCAGAGGTCCCATGCTGTGGCTGGTACAGTTGGTGAAGTGCCCCTCTACTGACTGAGGACCAAACTGGGACATCCACAGAGCCAGCCTTCGGGGGCCAGACCAGACCTTTCCACAGCACTAGAGGCCTCGGGTGGAGAACCCACTTGGAGAACCATGGGTTAAACCATGGGTTAGGATTTAGACCAGTGCCTGCCCTCCCTCCTCACCTGGTCTTGGTCAGCCTGGCCCTGCTCTGGAGCAACACAACACTCAGGTGCCAGCAAGCTCCACCCTCAACACCCTCCCAGATCCTCCAGCCCATCAATCCTCCCCACCACTTTCAGAGACGGCACCGCCTGCCCCGCCCCGCCCCGCCCCACCCCCAGGCCTCCCTGCCCCATCCTTGCCTTTTACAAGGTTCTACCTGGCTTATGATGAATGTTGCCTAATGAGCCACATTTGGAGGTCACTTTGCTCAGATCCACTGGTTTGTAGACTATTTGTACCTGGAGGTGAGAGAGGAGAGCAAGAGACAAAGAGAGTAAGACAGGATCATTTTATTAGGGGCATAACAGGATGGGAAGCAGCTGTGTCTGTCCAGGCCCTGCTCAGACAGTGCGTCCTGTCTGCCATGAGGAACACATCCTAGTGGTGGTGGGAAACTGCTGTGGGAATTCTGCCAACCCTGCCCCAGGGGAGCAGGGTCTTCACAAAATAACTGGAGCCCCTTCAGTCCCATGGGACAGGAACCCCCGGGGAAAAACAGGGATATTTGGCCATTGTGCCGGGCCCACACCATTGGTTTAACACACACATGTAAAAAGGTCATTCTCTTTCCTGACATGAGTGGACAGATCACATTCAGTGAGGACATAAAGAAAGAAGGGTTCAATACAAACCATTTGTGCAGCATTTTCAAAATCTCAGAAAAGCAAGAGAGCTGCCTCCGCTGCACCTCTGAGAGCAGAGGGCGGGCAGTGCGGGGTTGTGAGGTGGACTTTCTCCCCAGAGGAACTTCACAAACCCCTGCACCCCCACCGCAGAGCAGTGACCGTCCGCGCGCGGGACCGAGGCCAGTCCCGAGACTCGGTCAGAGCTAAGAGCCAGCTGGCAGCCGGGCACACGGTGTCCTGGGCATTTCGGTTCTTTACCGAAAGGAGCAAAGCAACACCAGCAGGACAGGCAGGCGGCACAGAAGAAATCACAGGTTTAGTGTCTCAGGGAGTCTGCACCAACACAGGTAGCGGAGGCCTGAGGGCTCCCGGACACAGCCCACCCTCCCAAAGGGAATGACACCCCCGCGCCGCCCTCCGAAGGAAGCGCCCTGTGGGGACCCCGCACCAGCAGATGGTCTCCTAGAGGGAGTCTCTACACAGCCGTGGCTGTGAAAGGGCAGTGATGGTCACTGGGTGACACTTCCCAAGGCCTCCAGAGAGACCTTGTGTGAGGTCACCTGAGGGTACAGGAGACCAGTCACCAGGGGGTCA